GGACGGTGTGAGGTCAACACAGGTTTCAACACTATCAGATTTCAAATTTTGGTTTAGATATGAGAGTCAGTCTGGTGTTTCTTATAGTTTACTGACGTTGTTATATGTATTATAGTCTACTGTTGTTATAATGAGACGCAGTAATAGCTGAATGTGACTCACTGTGGAAGAATGTGACTCGTTGTGGAAGAATGTGACTCGTTGTGGAAGAATGGATGGAGGAGCCAGATAACATCAGCTTGGATGGAGGAGCCAGATATCAGCTTGGATGGAGGAGCCAGATAACATCAGCTTGGATGGAGGAGCCAGATAACATCAGCTTGGATGTAGGAGCCAGACAACATCAGCTTGGATGGAGGAGCCAGACAACATCAGCTTGGATGGAGGAGCCAGATAACATCAGCTTGGATGTAGGAGCCAGACAACATCAGCTTGGATGGAGGAGCCAGACAACATCAGCTTGGATGGAGGAGCCAGACATCAGCATGGATGGAGGAGCTAGATAACATCAGCTTGGATGGAGGAGCCAGACAACATCAGCTTGGATGGAGGAGCCAGATAACATCAGCTTGGATGGAGGAGCCAGAATAACATCAGCTTGGATGGAGGAGCCAGATAACATCAGCTTGGATGGAGGAGCCAGATAACATCAGCTTGGATGGAGGAGCCAGACATCAGCTTGGATGGAGGAGCCAGACAACATCAGCTTCGATGGAGGAGCCAGACATCAGTTTGGATGGAGGAGCCAGACAACATCAGCTTGGATGGAGGAGCCAGACAACATCAGCTTGGATGGAGGAGCCAGACAACATCAGCTTGGATGGAGGAGCCAGACAACATCAGCTTGGATGGAGGAGCCAGACAACATCAGCTTGGATGGAGGAGCCAGACAACATCAGCTTGGATGGAGGAGCCAGACAACATCAGCTTGGATGGAGGAGCCAGGCAACATCAGCTTGGATGGAGGAGCCAGACAACATCAGCTTGGATGGAGGAGCCAGACAACATCAGCTTGGATGGAGGAGCCAGACAACATCAGCTTGGATGGAGGAGCCAGACAACATCAGCTTGGATGGAGGAGCCAGACAACATCTGCTTGGATGGAGGAGCCAGACAACATCAGCTTGGATGAAGGAGCCAGACAACATCAGCTTGGATGGAGGAGCCAGACAACATCAGCTTGGATGGAGGAGCCAGACAACATCAGCTTGGATGGAGGAGCCAGACAACATCAGCTTGGATGGAGGAGCCAGACAACATCAGCTTGGATGGAGGAGCCAGACAACATCAGTTTGGATGGAGGAGCCAGACAACATCAGCTTGGATGGAGGAGCCAGACATCAGCTTGGATGGAGGAGCCAGACAACATCAGCTTGGATGGAGGAGCCAGACAACATCAGCTTGGATGGAGGAGCCAGACAACATCAGCTTGGATGGAGGAGCCAGACAACATCAGCTTGGATGGAGGAGCCAGACAACATCAGCTTGGATGGAGGAGCCAGACAACATCAGCTTGGATGGAGGAGCCAGACAACATCAGCTTGGATGGAGGAGCCAGACTACATCACGCGTTTGTTTACATGTAAAGGATGACTAATTTCAAATCTTTATCTCCTGATGTAAATACTGTGTGATGACTGTTTACGTTGAGTAGTCTGGACTACACTGTGACGCACTGTGTGACGCACTTACACCAACGAACACTCTGTGTGTGTGAGGCACTTACATTGTGTGACTGACGCACTTTTTGTGACTGACGCACTTATACTGTGTGACCACACTGTGAGGCGCTTACACTGTGTCACTGACGCACTTACACTGTGTGAGGCGCTTACATTGTGTGACTGACGCACTTACACTGTGTGACTGAGGCACTTACACTGTGTGACTGAGGCACTTACAGTGCGACTCATACTGTGTGGCACCTTCGCACTGGATGACTTGCTGCCTTCCAGAGGGAGCTGAACAGATATTTAGTCGGTGCCGGATCATCCGGGCTGTGGTTCGTATGTTGGACTACGTGCGGCCAGCAGTAACAGTCTCGTTGATCAGGCTCTGATCCACCGGGAGGCCTGGTGGTGGACCGGGCCGCGGGGGCGTTGAACCCGGAATACCCTCCAGGTAGGTTAGTAGGTACTAGAGATACTGCCCCTACTTCCTGAAGCATTGACAACCATCCTGAAGCATTGACAACCATCCTGAAGCATTGATAACCATCTTGAAGCACTGACAACCATCCTGAAGCACTGACAACCACCATGAAGCATTGATAACCATCCTGAAGCATCGATAACCATCCTGAAGCATTGACAACCATCCTGAAGCATTGACAACCATCTTGAAGCACTGACAACCATCCTGAAGCACTGACAACCACCATGAAGCATTGATAACCATCCTGAAGCATTGATAACCATCCTGAAGCATTGATAACCATCCTGAAGCATTGACAACCATCCTGAAGCATTGATAACCATCCTGAAGCATTGACAACCATCCTGAAGCATTGATAACCATCTTGAAGCACTGACAACCATCCTGAAGCACTGACAACCACCATGAAGCATTGACAACCATCCTGAAGCATTGACAACCATCCTGAAGCATTGATAACCATCCTGAAGCATTGATAACCATCCTGAAGCATTGATAACCATCCTGAAGCATTGATAACCATCTTGAAGCACTGACAACCATCCTGAAGCATTGACAACCACCATGAAGCATTGACAACCATCCTGAAGCATTGACAACCATCCTGAAGCATTGACAACCACCATGAAGCATTGACAACCATCCTGAAGCATTGACAACCATCCTGAAGCATTGATAACCATCCTGAAGCATTGATAACCATCCTGAAGCATTGATAACCATCCTGAAGCACTGACAACCATCCTGAAGCATTGATAACCATCCTGAAGCATTGACAACCATCCTGAAGCATTGATAACCATCCTGAAGCATTGACAACCATCCTGAAGCATTGATAACCATCTTGAAGCACTGATAACCATCCTGAAGCATTGATAACCATCCTGAAGAATTGATAACCATCCTGAAGCATTGACCACCATCCTGAAGCATTGATAACCATCCTGAAGCATTGATAACCATCCTGAAGAATTGATAACCATTCTGAAGTACTGATAACCATCCTGAAGCATTGATAACCAACCTGAAGCACTGACAACCATCCTGAAGCACTGGCAACCATCCTGAAGCACTGACAACCATCCTGAAGCACTGACAACCATCCTGAAGCACTGGCAACCATCCTGAAGCACTGACAACCATCCTGAAGTACTGACAGCCATCCTGAAGCATTGACAACCATCCTGAAGCATTGATAACCAACCTGAAGCACTGACAACCATCCTGAAGCATTGATAACCAACCTGAAGCACTGACAACCACTCTGAAGCATTGACAACCATCCTGAAGCATTGATAACCAACCTGAAGCACTGACAACCATCCTGAAGCATTGATAACCAACCTGAAGCACTGACAACCACTCTGAAGCATTGACAACCATCCTGAAGCATTGATAACCAACCTGAAGCACTGACAACCACTCAGAAGCATTGACAACCATCCTGAAGCACTAACAACCATCCTGAAGCATTGACAACCATCCTGAAGCGCTGACAACCATCCTGAAGCACTAACAACCATCGTGAAACACTAACAACCATCCTGAAGCACTAACAACCATCCTGAAGCACTAACAACCATCCTGAAACATTAACAACTATCCTGAAGCACTAACAACCATCCTGAAGCACTAACAACCATCTTGAAGCACTGACAACCATCCTGAAGCATTGACATCCATCCTGAAGCACTGACAACCATGCTGAAGCATTGACAACCATCCTGAAGTACTGACAACCATCCTGAAGCACTGACAACCATCCTGAAGCATTGACATCCATCCTGAAGCACTGACAACCATCCTGAAGCGCTGACAACCATCCTGAAGCATTGACAACCATCTTCAAGCACTGACAACCATCCTGAAGCACTAAGAACCATCCTGAAGCACTAACAACCATCCTGAAGTACTAACAACCTTCCTGAAGCACTAACAACCATCCTGAAACACTAACAACCATCCTGAAGCACTAACAACCATCCTGAAGCATTGATAACCATCCTGAAGCACTGACGACCATCCTGAAACACTAACAACCATCCTGAAACACTAACAACCATCCTGAAGCACTGACAACCATCCTGAAGCACTAACAACCATCCTGAAGTACTAACAACCATCCTGAAGCACTAACAACCATCCTGACGTACTAACAACCTTCCTGAAGCACTAACAACCATCCTGAAACACTAACAACCATCCTGAAGCACTAACAACCATCCTGAAGCACTGACAACCATCCTGAAGCATTGACAACCATTCTGAAGCACTGGCAGCCATCCTGAAGCACTAACAACTTTCCTGAAGCATTGACAACCATCCAGAAGCATTGACAACCATCCTGAAGCACTGGCAACCATCCTGAAACACTAACAACTATCCTTAAGCACTAACAACCATTCTGAAGCACTAACAACTATCCTGAAGCATTGACAACCATCCAGAAGCATTGACAACCATCCAGAAGCATTGACAACCCTCCAGAAGCATTGACAACCATCCTGAAGCATTGACAACCATCCTGAAGCATTGACAACCATCCTGAAGCATTGACAACCATCCTGAAGCATTGACAACCATCCTGAAGCATTGATAACCACTCTGAAGCCCTGCCAACCATCCTGAAGCACTAACAACCATACTGAAGCACTAACAACCATCCTGAAGCACTAACAACCCAGTCAGGGAGACTACTGAGTCACAGGTAATAAGTGGTCTTTGTTTATAAGTACTGGTTAAGTATGGTACCGGGAAGATTTACCAGTACTCACCTTGAGATCTTTGAATAAAGATTTACCAGTACTCACCTTGAGATCTTTGAATAAAGATTTATCAGTACTCACCTTGAGATCTTTGAAGAAACAAGAGTTCCTCGCCCAGTCCACTTGAGCGAAGAGGTTCTGGTCTAGCACTTTACACATAAGTTCAAAGAGGTCGACCTCACACTGGTTGTATGTCTGATTTTGAAGGAGGGAGAAGAGTGATGTCTGCCACTCCTGGTCGTCGACCGTGTCTACCAGTTCACGTATCATGATGGGAATCCTGGAGCCACCCGTGGCCGCCCGACCACCGCCACCACCGCCACCGCCGCCGCCACCCCCGCCACCCACACCAGCCGAGGGTGGTGCACCTATGGTTACACCAGGGGCTGTGGACTGGGTGTTGGTCACCCAGAGGGTTGGGTCTGGACCGGCAATGATAGGTGCAACTGGACCAGAAGCTACCAAGCCACTGGTACCACTAGAAGCTGCTATTAACCCACCCAGACCGCCCATGGGGGATGGTGAGGAGTCTGGAGACGAGGTGGAGGAGGACAGGAAGGGACTTTGTATCTCTTCTTTGATGTGAACATGTGAGGAAGGTGCTGAGGAGTAGCCCGGGGTGGAGTAGGTGATTGCTACACCTGAGGTGGTGGGGTGTCGTCCACCTGATAGTATTCCTGGGTGGGATAACTGACGTTGTCGTAGCATCTGAAGCTTCCGTGCTCGGTCACGTTTGTACATGGGACCAAACTTGTTCCTCCCGCCTCTCATACGGTCCGCCCGAACAGCTGTAAACACAAACAAACACACGTTAGAACTAACAATCTTTCCGTAATGTATTTATAAAATGTATAATTGTTATATTGTGTTATACCACAACACAGTTATGATCCATACATTTTTTTTTTCTGGCCAGAACTGTAATATGCTTTCACTATAAGACAGTCTCCCCAGTCAACAGTGATAGGTGTTGATGTACTCTCTGACTGCCAACAGATGGCATCAACGTCTCCTTTCAGCCACAAGTCTTACTTATCAGTCTTGTAATAACCAGTAGTGCTATCAAGAGCAACACTGTGTATACCTGGGTGTACATATACAGCAACACTGTGTGTACCTGGGTGTACATACAGAGCAACACTGTGTATACCTGGGTGTACATACACAGAGAGCATATACACAGGTGAATCTCAGTGTATATACAATGAGAGTTGTATATCTCTCAGTGTATATACAATGAGAGCTGTATATCCCTCCATGTATATACAATGAGAGTTGTATATCTCTCAGTGTATATACAATGAGAGTTGTACATCAGTGTACATACAATGAGTTTACTAGAGATGCAGCCTTAATGACCCTGGTACACTAGACATTTTCAAGTCCATCAATGATACAAGGTAGAGAGACAGAAGTGAGTGGGTAAAGCAAGTGTTGTAGCAGCCTCAGGATGTCTGACCTGCCAGGTATTTCCTTAGTCACACCAAGATCATTGTCCTGGAGAAGGAACATTGTCCCTCCCTCCTTCCTTCGCTCCCTGCCTCCCTCCCTCCCTCCCTCCCTCCTACCTTCCCTCCTTCCTTCCTTCCCTCCCTCCTACCTTCCCTCCCTGCCTCCCTGGAACAACTTTCACTCCTTGAGGGAGGGAGGGGAGGGGAGGGAGGGAGGGAGGGAGGGGAGGGGAGGGGAGGGGAGGGGGGCCACTTACGTAAGGTTCAGCGTAACAACAAAGAAATTAATTCCTGCTGACAACGCGTAACATGCGTCAGTGTAACGCGTAACATGCGTCAGTCATCAAAACACAGTCACCACAACTCAATTACCACAACACAGTCACCACAATAGTCATCACAACAGTCATCACCACAACACTGCCGTCACCATAACACAGTCACCACAACAGTCACCACAACACTCACCACAACAGTCATCACAACAGTCATCACCACAACACTGCCGTCACCATAACAGTCACCACAACAGTCACCACAACACTCACCACAACAGTCATCACAACAGTCATCACCACAACACTGCCGTCACCATAACAGTCACCACAACAGTCACCACAACACTCACCACAACAGTCATCACAACAGTCATCACCACAACACTGCCGTCACCATAACAGTCACCACAACAGTCACCACAACACTCACCACAACAGTCATCACAACAGTCATCACCACAACACTGCCGTCACCATAACAGTCACCACAACAGTCACCACAACACTCACCACAACAGTCATCACAACAGTCATCACCACAACACTGCCGTCACCATAACAGTCACCACAACAGTCACCACAACACTCACCACAACAGTCATCACAACAGTCATCACCACAACACTGCCGTCACCATAACAGTCACCACAACAGTCACCACAACACTCACCACAACAGTCATCACAACAGTCATCACCACAACACTGCCGTCACCATAACAGTCACCACAACAGTCACCACAACACTCACCACAACAGTCATCACAACAGTCATCACCACAACACTGCCGTCACCATAACAGTCACCACAACAGTCACCACAACACTCACCACAACAGTCATCACAACAGTCATCACCACAACACTGCCGTCACCATAACAGTCACCACAACAGTCACCACAACACTCACCACAACAGTCATCACAACAGTCATCACCACAACACTGCCGTCACCATAACAGTCACCACAACAGTCACCACAACACTCACCACAACAGTCATCACAACAGTCATCACCACAACACTGCCGTCACCATAACAGTCACCACAACAGTCACCACAACACTCACCACAACAGTCATCACAACAGTCATCACCACAACACTGCCGTCATCATAACACAGTCATCACAACACAGTCAATACTATGTACTCATCTACGTTGTTAGTAACCATGTTGTTCCCTGGTCTTCAATGTTTCTCTCTCTCTCTCTCTCTCTCTCTCTCTCTCTCTCTCTCCTCTCTCTCTCTCTCTCTCTCTCTCTCTCTCTCTCTCTCTCTCCTCTCTCTCTCTCTCTCTTATAGGGAGAATAGTCTCTCCCTTCCGGAGAGAACAATCTTAGTGTTTGCAGGTGTTGTCTGTGTTCTATCAGACGATCTACCTATGTCTGCATGATTTCAGGGGTCAACGCCCCCGCGGCCCGGTCCCAGACCAGGCCTTCTGTTGATCAACCAGGTTGTTACGGCTGGCCGTGTCTAGAATAGGGCTGTACGTGTTGACTATTAATTATTATTCAATCACGTCATTAGTTGAATCCAATCCAAAAACCTGCCATCCCATCCCTGGACACCACAGAATATTTATGTAGGGAATAGTAGTTTGTATGTCCTGGTGTAGTGTCCCCTCCCTCGTGGTACACTGTCCCCTCCCCCGTGGTACACTGTCCCCTCCCCCGTGGTACACTGTCCCCTCCCTGGTGGTACACTGTCCCCTCCCTCGTGGTACACTGTCCCCTCCCTGGTGGTACACTGTCCCCTCCCTCGTGATACACTGTCCCCTACGCCGTGGTACACTGTCCCCTCCCTGGTGGTACACTGTCCCCTCCCCCGTGGTACACTGTCCCCTACGCCGTGGTACACTGTCCCCTCCCTGGTGGTACACTGTCCCCTCCCTCGTGGTACACTGTCCCCTCCCCCGTGGTACACTGTCCCCTCCCCCATGGTACACTGTCCCCTCCCTGGTGGTACACTGTCCCCTCCCCCGTGGTACACTGTCCCCTCCCTGGTGGTACACTGTCCCCTCCCCGTGGTACACTGTCCCCTCCCTGGTGGTACACTGTCCCCTCCCTGGTGGTACACTGTCCCCTCCCCCGTGGTACACTGTCCCCTCCCCCGTGGTACACTGTCGCCTCCCCCGTGGTACACTGTCCCCTCCCTCGTGGTACACTGTCCCCTCCCTGGTGGTACACTGTCCCCTCCCTCGTGATACACTGTCCCCTACGCCGTGGTACAGGCTGTCCCCTCCCTCGCAGTACAGGCTGTCAGCTCCCTCGTGGTACAGGCTGTCCTCTCCCTCGTGGTACAGGCTGTCCCCTCCCTCGTGGTACAGATTGTCCCCTCCCTCGTAGTACAGGTTGTCCCCTCCCTCGTGGTACAGGCTGTCCCCTACCTCGAGGTACAGACTGTCCCCTCCCTCGTGGTACAAACTGTCCCCTCCCTCGTAGTACAGACTGTCCCCTCCCTCGTGGTACAGACTGTCCCCTACTTCGTGGTACAGACTGTCCCCTCCCTCGTGGTACAGGCTGTCCCCTCCCTCGTGGTACAGGCTGTCCCCTCCCTCGTAGTACAGACTGTCCCCTCCCTCGTGGTACAGGCTGTTCCCTACTTCGTGGTACAGACTGTCCCCTCCCTCGTGGTACAGGCTGTCCCCTCCCTCGTGGTACAGGCTGTCCCCTCCCTCGTGATACAGACTGTCCCCTCCCTCGTGGTACAGACTGTCCCCTCCCTCGTGGTACAGACTGTCCCCTCCCTCGTGGTACAGGCTGTCTCCTCCCTCGTGGTACACTGTCCCCTACCCCGTGGTACACTGTTCCCTCCCTCGTGGTACAGACTGTCCCCTCCCTCGTGGTACACTGTCCCCTCCCTCGTGGTAGACTGTCCCCTCCCTCGTGGTACACTGTCCCTACCCCGTGGTACAGTGTCCCCTCCCTCGTGGTACAGACTGTCCCCTCCCTCGTGGTACACTGTCCCCTCCCTCGTGGTACACTGTCCTCTACCCCGTGGTACACTGTCCAATCCCTCGTGGTACACTGTCCCCTCCCTCGTGGTACACTGTCCCCTACCCCGTGGTGCAATCCCCTCCCTCGTGGTACAGACTGTCCCCTCCCTCGTGGTACACTGTCCCCTCCCTCGTGGTACACTGTCCCCTCCCTCGTGGTACACTGTCCCCTACCCCGTGGTGCAATCCCCTCCCTCGTGGTACAGACTGTTCCCTCCCTCGTGGTACACTGTCCCCTCCCTCGTGGTACACTGTCCCCTCCCTCGTGGTACACTGTCCTCTACCCCGTGGTACACTGTCCAATCCCTCGAGGTACACTGTCCCCTCCCTCGTGGTACACTGTCCCCTCCCTCGTGGTACACTGTCCCCTACCCCGTGGTACAGGCTGTCCCCTCCCTCGTGGTACAGGCTGTCAGCTCCCTCGTGGTACACTGTCCCCTACCTCGTGGTACACTGTTCCCTCCCTCGTGGTACAGACTGTCCCCTCCCTCGTGGTACACTGTCCCCTCCCTCGTGGTACACTGTCCCCTACCCCGTGGTACACTGTCCCCTCCCTCGTGGTACAGACTGTCCCCTCCCTCGTGGTACACTGTCCCCTCCCTCGTGGTACACTGTCCCCTCCCTCGTGGTACACTGTCCTCTACCCCGTGGTACACTGTCCAATCCCTCGTGGTACACTGTCCCCTCCCTCGTGGTACAGGCTGTCCCCTCCCTCATGGTACAGGCTGTCCCCTACCTCGTGGTACAGACTGTCCCCTCCCTCGTAGTACAGACTGTCCCCTCCCTCGTAGTACAGACTGTCCCCTCCCTCGTGGTACAGGCTGTCAGCTCCCTCGTGGTACAGGCTGTCCTCTCCCTCGTGGTACAGGCTGTCCCCTCCCTCGTGGTACACTGTCCCCTACCCCGTGGTACACTGTTCCCTCCCTCGTGGTACACTGTCCCCTCCCTCGTGGTACATTGTCCCCTCTCTCGTGGTACACTGTCTCCTCCCTCGTAGTACACTGTCATCTACCCCGTGGTACACTGTCCAATCCCTCGTGGTACACTGTCCCCTCCCTCGTG